ATTTGAAAATCAAGCATGTGTTGTAACGATGGTGGTTGTCCCTCTTTTACTAGAGGTTATCGTGAATTGTTAAGGCAATATTAGAAATAAGAAAGAGAATACTCCCCTTAACAGAACCTAGTTTTAAAATTCTAAAACCATCCCTTAAAAAATATCACTACTTAGGACGCCAATTAGAAAGATATTTCCTCCTAAAATACTATGACAGCTGGTTTTGTTGTTTATTCTTTCTAACCTGTTTTGATTAAATTATGACCCTTTTTTCTTAAGTTTTCATGTCTTTACGTCTTTCTTTTTACATGTCAATAAAAGGTCTGCTTTAAGAGTTTGTACCACCTTGCTGCCCTCTGCATGCTCAGACAACATTCTTTACAGATTGCATTAATCTGCCACATAACGGGTTGTTTTGTGCTTACAGGAGGGTGTAAAGAACAAAGACGAAATGAAAGACTACAGCACAGGTATAGTTCAGATGTTAACATATGGACTGTCTCAAAAAGTTGACGTTTAATTGGTGTTTTATGTTTTATTTTTTTCTTTCCCTCCTTATTTTAGACCTGGAAGGTGACCAGTCCCCTGTTGAGCGGGATCAGATGGGCCAGGGGAGCTATATTGGTGGCTCATCAGTGCCTGCATCAGTGTCTGAGGTTGGCAAAGGATCTAAAGGTCCGGGTGAGGAGGCTGGATCAGGGGAAAAAGTCCTGCCAGAGCATGGTGGCTTCTCCTCACAGGGGCTCTCCTGCTCCCTGTGCAAACGGCTGTTCAGCAGCCTGGAGCATCTCAGGGAACATGAGTACCACCACACCCTGTCTCTGATGGCCCTTTCCCTGGACTGGCCAGGTATGCCAGGTCCTCTCCACCAGCCTATCCAGCCCCGTCACCAGTCACAGCCCCAACCTCCCCTTTTCAGCCAGTCTCTCTACCGCCCTGCAGTGGGTGAACCTGTTGCGGCTCGCTACTTCTGCTCCCACTGCCCTGCCAGCTTCACCCTCAAATCAAATGCAGACCGTCACGAGAAGACCATCCACTTTAAAAAGAAGCTGATGCAGTGCGTGTACTGCCTGAAGCACTTTCGGGATCGCACAGACCTGCACCGGCACCTGTCTTCTGTGCACTCCAAAGAGAGAGGGCACACCTGTCCAGCCTGTGCCAAGGCTTTTAGCACCCAAAAGAACTTGGCAACACATGTTAAAGTGTGTTGTCAGGTGGCCTTGGTTCCAGGAGCTCTGCTGGGAGGCAGCACTGGAATGGAAATGTCCCAGAGTGGGCCGTCAGACCCACTGTGGCGGCTCAACCAACACCTAAAAGTTGACAGTTACGATGGCAGTATTGATGTGGAAGGCCTGTAGAGTCACTCATACCCATTTAAAGTTAAAATTGTACCTTCATTTGCATTTAACATTCATGCCAAAAAATACTTTGTGGTTTTATGCATTCAAAATGGAAGAATTTCCTGTGAACAAAAATGTGGAGAACTTTTTTTAAACTCCTTGTTGAATATCATGCCATTATTACTGTGCAAAAATAACCCATTTTTACTGATGTCACTCTGTCAGAATAGCAGAGTTGCTATGCAAAATGAACCTAACTATAAACCCATTAAATGTTTAACCCATAATTTATGCAATGTTTAACTAGTTTAGAGTAAAAAGCGAACTAAACCCATAACGTTACACTGCAGTGCCAAGTGGAGAGACAGGGGGTGTATTCTCACTTCCTCAGCAAAAACCACTAGTCTGACTCTATGGCACTAGTCGCCGCTGTGACTATGCTTTCATCTCCTTTTTAGGTAGAAAGATCTTAATCTTCATGTCCACCCATGCATTACATGCACAAAGACATTTAAACAGAGCCCTTACCTGTCAGGCTTTGTGGGTTACAGTTCAACCAACAACACCACCTGCAGGATTTTTGCAGAATAGCAGAATGAGAAGTAAATCAGTCTCTTTCACTTAGCTAGTATTATATAGAATAGAAAAAAAAGTTTATAAAAAGACAAGACCTTTTTTGTTTACAGAAGTTTGTCTTCAGCAGTTGTCTAACATGATTATGTTAAGATAGATAGTAAAGCTATCAGATGAGCACAGATGGAGGGGATTTACTATAGAAGACAAAGCCTGCTAAAACAATAGGCCTGCAGCAGATGGGGGTTGGTTGGTGTCATTTTCCATTAATATTCCAGCCACCTTCTTAGACCCAGATCCATGAGTGCCGTAGTGGCCGAGAAGGCCAGGACCTGGGCAGTAATCTGTCCTCCATGGCTCCAGCCCCCTCTTAACCTCTTGACCCCCACATCTGAAGTAGAAGTGGAGGCCGAGGGGCAGAGGCCCGTTAAACCAGAGGAGCTCAGTGATGTCACGGCTGCCCAACGATAATAGCGCTGTGATGTGCTTGGGGGAGAAAATGTGGAATCAAGTGAGACAAGTGGAAAAAATGCATATGAATAATAATAAGGGAGGAGGTGAGCAGCAGTTGGGCCGAACAAGAGCTTGACAATCATTGCTAATGTGAATTACACCAGGGTCTGCCTAAACCCTTTTGGTTTGAGTTTACAACAGATGTGCAACAAGAAAATACAGAAAAAAAACGTATTGAATATCTAAAAAAAAATGTTTCTCTCAGAGAATGTATGTATTTGGGATTTGTTGACATTATGTTCACATCAGACGTTGGTAACAAACCCATCTAATCCATGTGTACAGAGGAACAGAAATCTACCCAAATACTAACCTATATGCCATAAAGGGAACGACAAAATTATTCATAATGAAAACTAGTTTACATTTTTTTTTGCTTCAGAGCATCTCCTTGATGCAGCATCTAGCATGCATTACTCAGGAATTCTTAAAGCTTTATTTGATACAAACTGCCTTCAATCTGTACTGTTTAGTCTTTTCCACAGATTCCCATTTAAGTCAGATAACTAACGGAATCATTTAACAAGTTCTCTTTTTTTTCTCTTTAACTTTAACTGTGTGTTTGGGATCATTTTAGTGCTGAAAATCCACCCTGGTTTAATCTGCAGTCTATTATCAGTTATATCTGTGTAAACATGTCAATTTATTCATTTAATTATATGAAGCCTGCTAGTAGATAATACTGAAAAACATTCCATGCTGTTCCCACGTCAAAATCCACTGTTGGTGCAGTGGTTTGTGGGGTAATGCACAGTGTAATTGCATCTTCAAAAACAGTGGGTGCAATGACAAGGTAATTTCCATCCTATATGAGACGAAACTGTGTCTTATAACCCTTCTTAATTTTAGCAGCTTGTTTTAAATTTGGCTTTAACAGCTTTTTCTTTAGTAGTGAGATTAAATAATGACAGCTGGAGTAGTAGTGCATTCACTACTTTTTTCCTTTAATTTCAATTATTTCCAAAGTTCTTTCCAAGTGTTCCATGGCTGTTGGACGACTCTTCAGGTTGTCTTACAATGAGCCCACCATTGCGGTTTGTTTATGGAGAAATCAGAATCTTTCCACTTTTGGATTAATAACCCCGAAGGTGCTTAGTGGAACAATCTGAGATGCTCGCTGTCTGACATCTTGGTTGGTCTCTTAATAGGCCACACATTAGGCTTTAACCAGCTGACAGTCACTGGCACTGATAGGCAGTGTTTTGCTTTCAGAATAATTATATTTTCAGTTATTTCTCATCTTTTTATGCATTTATGCGATTTTCAGCTGTTTAGGTTTAGCTATTTTGTCTTTTTACTTCACTCCATATAATTGAATTTATGCAACTGCTTGTTAGTTTTTTTTGTTTTTTTTTTATTGGATGATGTTGTTTTTACCAACACCTGGTCTGAACTTAATGTCTATAGGACCATTAGAAACATAAACCGAGAAAAAAAAAACTGTTCAATACTAATTTTTCCTGCTGTATTTTTGTTCATATAACTTACCCATAAAGAGTTCATGTATAAACCCATACTTTGAATGACATACCCATTAAGCAGGGATACCTGCTTTTATCTTTCTAGGTGCTCCTTATTAAAGCAACACTTGAGCCCATAGGGGAACTTTTCCCTTTTTTGCATTATACACACAGGAAACTCTGAACTGCCAAAAGCTTTATGAAATCCCATCTTCAGGTAGCATATTTTGCAGCTGAAACAGAGTCCCAGGTTGATTGAACTCAGGAACTAAATGGAAATTCTTCAGAGGTAGTTTTTTTGTGGTTTGGTCTTTATGAGTTTGAATGAGTGTTTTTATGAGTACAGAAAGATGTGTCCAGATATAGCCTCGATAATGTATCTTTGCAATCAATGTACTGCTCAGACCTCTGTACTTAAAAAAATAAAACATCTGTAGATTTCATGCTGTGATTAAATTATTGTTGAAAATTGAGATCTTTTTTGTGTCCTTTTTCTTCCCCGTCTGTGTTGTGCACACATACACACAGCCATTTTTAAAAACTCTTATTTCAGAACCTGAAAGCCTACATCTCTTGTGCAGTTTATTTGTCCTTGCATGTTTTTTTCTTCTGTTTTTTTTTTTTTCAATGTGCTGTCAATTGTTTAACGAGAGCCGAAGCTGATGGAGGTAATTACATATGATGACCCCCTCCTTTGTACGTACAGTAGAGGTGTAAAGTGTGTGTGATGCCTTTAAGACCCGTCACTGTGAAGCAGAGCCTCCCCTCAACCCTGTTGCTGATTTTCTTGTCATTGTCTGTGTTTGTCTTTATGTCTGTGTTCTCGCTGTCCACACAAGAGACCTTCTAGCGCACCTTAGGCACACTCAATGTAGTGTCATGTGTTTATAGTATCACTATGCCTTTATTACTTTAGTATGGAAGAAGAGCTTGTTTCCAGGGCAACTGTAGCTTTGCCTGGGATAGGGATGACCATGGGAATTGATGTTACATTTCTAGCCCATGTTGCTAATTAAAAGCAATATCTGAAAAGAGAAGGCATGTTGTTTTCTTTTTTTTTCTTCAAAGTTAATCTTCTGCTCATTCCTTCTCTTTCTCTCCCTCCTCCCTTCTGTCCTTGCAGTGAATGACTTCACGGTGATCCGTAAAAAGTTCAAGTGCCCCTACTGCAGTTTCTCTGCTATGCACCAGTGCATCCTTAAGAGGCACATGCGCTCACACACCGGTGAGAGGCCCTATCCATGTGAAATCTGTGGCAAGAAGTTCACCAGACGGGAGCACATGAAGAGGCACACGCTGGTGAGTGCCATGTTGCAGTCATTGCACCATAGGAGGCGTCCTGTTACAAATATATATCTATGTGTCTGTACATCATTTAATTATTCAATTTGTGAATCTGACAAATATAAGTTAATTTCTGTTCATATATAGATATCCCCATAACTCTTTTTCAGCCACTTTTTGTTAGATAAATTTTCATTAGCGTGTTTCAGAGTCAGGTTGAGTATGGAAAATGTATTGCAGAGAAAAGGCAGAAGCGACAGGGATAACTGCAGCCTCAAACAGACTGTATATCATCCTTTCTTTATTAGGCTTTTCCCACCAATATCTGAAAAACTCTGGTTTTCCCTGTTTCTTGCAACCCGTTTGCTGATCCAATTTTTCCTTCCTCTTAATTTTCCACCATTTATTGGATACCACACTCTTGGAACCTGCTGCTTCTTAAGCAATGACCTTTAATGGGTTACATAAGTTAATAGGTGACGTTTGTGGAGCAGCAACTGCTAGACAACTGTGAAGTCTTCCTGTTAATAGTATATCCTTAGCAAAGATTAGGAGTTAAATGTATGCTTTATGAATTAGTCTCATGCTATATTAGAATTTTCAGATTTAAAAAAAGTGTTTAATTACTTGTGAAAAATAACTTCAATTTTTTTTTTTTTTATTGAATCACTGAAATAATAACTTTTCAGTTAAACTCATATTTGTTTGAATGTACAATTATGCGTTATCCAAAGTGTGAATTAAAAACATGAAATTATGTGTCTTTGTTACACAGGTCCACAGCAAGGACAAGAAGTATGTGTGCAAGGTGTGCAGCCGGGTCTTCATGTCCGCAGCAAGCGTCGGGATCAAACATGGCTCCCGGCGGCATGGGGTCTGCGCAGACTGCTCAGGCAGGGGGATGGCTGCGCTGCTGGACCACAACGGGGAGACGGGTGGCGACATCTCCCCCGAGGAGGAGCTGTATCCTGGGGATCGGTTTCACGACGACCAGGCAGAGTGCGATGGCGACGGGGAGGGGGAGGAAGAGATGATGGTGGAAGGGGACAGTGAGATTTTGGGGGAAGGGGAGGAGGAGGCGGGGAAGTGGAAGGACTCAGGGATTGCCGCCGAGGCACACAGAGCACTGGACAATGAGAAGGAGGAGAGTGACTCCTCCGCTCATGAGGGGGAGCAGCAGAATGGGAGCGAGAAGGACTTTGCCTGGATCTCGTAGAACCTTTCAAGCCTCCTGTTTGTGGCTCATCAACCAATCTCTGGAGATCTTCTCTGATCTCTCAGGCAGATTCCTCTGCTCACTTTACCCACTCGCCCCACCCACTGTGGGCAGGCCTTCCTTTGGAGATGCTGTAGGGTGATGCACGACAATGATCGAAACACTCAAATGCACACACACACACTTTCTCAAGCTTGACCGCCATAGAAGAAGAGTAATCAAGAGATGGCTTGAGTACAAGGCTTTTTTCCGCTTACCTCCTCCTCTACAGATGCAGTGTTTTTGTGGTTTTTTTTTCTTCTTCTTGAGGGTTCAGGCTGGAGTCCAGCTGTTTTCTGCTCTGTCACAACAGGAATCAGGCTGCCAAGGAGGTGGCCGGGGCTAGACTGCAACTTTGTATGTTTGCCATCACAATCATTGCAGAAACCAAGGATCATAGACAGAGTAAGGAGAGGACAGTCAGGAAAGAGGGGGTCTCAAAGCCAGAGTCTAAATCTATTGCAAAGATTGAGTGTCAGGGTGGGGGCCTGGGAACCCCCAAATGACACATTTTTCCTTTTTGAGTCCTACTGCCACAGACTTGCACTTTAATGACAACTGACTCCTATCAAAGTCCTGAACCCGTGGTTTACATTTTTTGATCTGACATTTACTTACCTGAACAACTCGGTGACCGCACCTACCTTTAAGGATATACCTTATGTCCTCTCTGACTGTTATCGCCAGATAGAAATCACTGAATCTTTGTGCAGATTGCTGTTTATAGAGCCTATGCCTTTTTAGTGGGGGGTCCTTTATCTTTTCTTCTCTTAAGTTTGCTGCCTGGTTGCTATTGATCCATTCCAACAGAAACTGGAGATTTGTACATAAAGATGTTAAAGAAGGGTGAAAAGAAGGCCGTGTGAGACAAAGAGGAAGAGAGAATAAACTTTGCTCTTAGAAATTTGAGAGTTTGAGACGAGACGTTTCAGCTCCGAGAGTCAATGTGAGCACAGAGTGGAACTACCTTACACTAACAAACACTCTTTGTCTCTCACGCTGAAGTTTGTGATGATAGGACCTGAGAGGCAAGTCTCTCACACCTTTTTTCCCCCCCTCCCTTGTTTCATTCTTTCTTATTTTAATTTATCCTTCCTCAGACTTGTACATTCAAGTTTCTCCACACGGAATATGCAGACACTTTTCACAATGACCTTTTTTTTTTGTGCTTGAGTTTCTCCTGCTTTGTAAGGTGTTAAGAAAAAGGATCAATGTTGTGCTTGAAGTTCAGAGGTTTCAGTATTTGTATAAAATTTGATTTGTTATTTATTGAGAAAAAGTCTTTTCCTTTCTGTGTGTTTGCGTGTGTGAATGAGGGTCCGGCGTCCAGAAAGAGTCTACACTGATTTATAAATTTATTTCTGATTTTTTTTTTTTTTGTTTTGTTTCTTTTTCTTAGGGGGGTGGGGCAAAAGTTGTGGACAATTCAAGTGAGGTTGGTGATATATGTCTTAATATAATGAATATCAGAACTATGATTATTGTTGTTGATGTTGCTATTATTAATTATTCATATTAAGTGCTGGATGATAAGCTTTACTGTGTGTTTTTCTTTTATTTGATATTTTCTATCTTGTATAAAAGGAAAGCTTTTATACTTTTGCCTTGTTGTGGACAGCAAGCCATGGAGCTTTTTATCAATCTTTTATCGTGCTGGTTTATGCTTTATTTTTTTTGTCATATTTCTTTATTTTAACTACTGGGGGAAAAAACACATTCACTCTTCTGCTCCTCTCTTAGATATTGATTGAAATGGTTTTTTTCAGCTTATGCTTTTTACATCTCTAATGTACACTAATTGATTAATACGGAACCAAAAAAAAAGAGAAAAAAAAATGTCATTCTAGTACTTTTGTATACATGAAGTGCTTTTGTTTCGCAGTTCGTGTTTAAACGAGTGCTTTTTGCCTTTATAGCTGTGGTTAACATGTTTCGTTGTTGGGTTGTTTTTATATATTTTTTTTCACAAGCCTGTTGCTATCCCTTACAATCAGATTAAAAAAGTGCACATTTTGGTTTTGTTTTCTGTTTTATTCTTGTTCATTATGAAGAGCTGTGTAAGACGGCCGGCTTGCTTTTGCGGACTGCACCCTGAAAATCAAGCAGATGAGATCTTTATTTTATTCGTTCACAGTTCAAATAACACACAAGTACAGATTAACACTCCTCTTTTATGTGAGTGTGTGCAGTCTGGATCTCATTCTGCAATAAAGATTAAAAAAATGGAAAGGAAATGCTGCAGCTGTGATGGTTAAACACATCAGGCTCTGTTGCAGGTGCCATGGATTGTACTGCTGGTCAAAAGAAGTTAAAAACACAGCACAACACGTGATGCTTTCTTCATTTATAACAGCTCTGTTATTCATTGTATTTTTGACCCATTTTTTAAACTGTTCTTTTTTGGGGGTTAAAAAAGACAATAGGGTAGAAATTTTGATGAATGTTAGTAATGGGTGGAAAAGGAGCCCATGATCAGAGACAAATCTGTCCTGTGGTGCTGTTATGGCCACTTAGAGACATCTGGATGTATGTTTGATTTCCTCCCGGAACCCCTCACCTTACACTTTACTCTCTTTTCACATGTGCTGTATGTGCTCTTCCTCATTCCGGGTTGTACTTCAGGAAAACGTCCGCCATTGACCCCTTAATATGTGCCTCAATGACATTTTTTTCACCCGGGTGCTTGCGAGAGCGTCTGTGTGGAAAGATGAGAAAATAATGGTGTCTGTAGGTAGAGATTATCAAGACTTTTTTTTTTTTTTTCTCCAAACGAGACAAATCAGAACTGGGCAACTTCATCTTCCCCTCTTTCCTCGACCTATCTGTGGTCCTAACTTGCATGTCTGTTTTCATTTTTTTCATACCAAAGCAACATCTTCTGCATCTGTGCACGGCGGCCTCATTCCACAGTGCAAAACTGGAACTCTTTGCTCTTTTTGCAGATGAATATGGGTATTCTTTGACGTGTACAAACTGCAATCCTCATTCAGCCTGTATAGCTTGACTGACATGTGAAAATCATGAAGCCATAGATATTGGTATATCTATATTCTACTATATTTCAAAAAAAAGAAAAAATTGGCGCTTTTTACTTTAGAGTTTGTTCCTCTACTAAGAGTGATGTGTGTATACCTTCATATATATGGATTTATATTACTATTATATATTATTTATTTACTCTTTCAAGTTTCAAAAGGTCTTTTGTTTAAAAAAAAAGGTCACACTTGAAGCTTGAGGTTTGTTTTTGTTTTTGTTGGGAATATTTGTTCAATATGATACTGACTTTATAATGATTATTATCATAATCCTGTGTTTGTAACAAAATGTGGTAAATAATCAGAAAAAAAAGAAAAAAAAACTGTCCTGTTTTTACACCTGCTTTGTTTTTGGGCAGATTTAAGTGCTCTTGTGCTGATATATTATTTTGGTTGATAGTACTGATCACAGAACATTTCTTTTGCTGTCCTCCATAAGCCTTCTGTTTCGGTGTTGGGTCGAGACCGCAATTCGTCCAAGCCTCTTTCTAACTTCATGTTTAGTGGAAGAAATAGCTTACCTTTTATTTGCAAATCCAATCAGTCTCAATAAATTTTGAAATTGCTGCTGTAAAAACATTTACTTTGTCTCCAGTGCCTTCTTTATGTTTCCATTTTAGAAAGTGAGGTTGCCTTACTTCCTTCTGTCCACTTGGGGGCAGGCTAGACAAGTCAAAGAAAGCAAGGTGGAAGGAAAAGTCAATTAAAAAATCCTTGTTTATTTCTATAGATTAGAACCCACCTGTTGCAGCCAAAGATGAAAACTAAAAAAATAAATCAATTTAAAGGGAGAGAAAATTTCAAATCTTAGATTTCTGATCATTCATCTTAGTACAACGTCTCCTTGATCCTTTCAAATGATCTCCCCTCTCCAGCTAACCAGCATATAATATATAATCTGGGTCTGAGGACAGATTAATATGCTAGATAGTTAATTTCAACTCTGGATAAACAATTGCTGTAAAGACTTGCCCTCAAGTTTTAGATCAGTGTTTCCCAAACCTTTCTTGACTTGTATGGCTAGACCCAGGATATTTAGATCAGTTAATGGCTATACAACTAAAAAAATATTTTATGGGTTGTCTAAAAACAGTTTAATCAAATACATTTTCTAATCATCAGTGCCTTTATTTCATTATTAATACCAGGGAATACAATCATTAATACAAACAATCTAAAAGTAGTTCAAAGATCCAAAATATGCTTACACATTTAAATAAAAAATGTTTTTGGTGAAAGTACTTTTTTCTAGTTCTAGAAAGATGTAGGCCTTTTCTCAGCAACAGCAAAGGGACGTGCATAAGCTGCCTAAGCTGGTTGGGCGAATTTATACCACTCTTGAATTATGGTCATAAGCTGAATTACTTAATTATTGCAAGGAATGTGAATGTACCACATGCCTCACTTTGAAAAATCCTGATACAGATAATAAAAATGGAAAGATATGTATCTATAGCACTAAAGTCAGAGGCCCCAAATGTTAATTAAAATACATCCACCCATCCATGCACCCTTTCCAGATGATTCCAGATGTAAACTAACCACAGCTGGTCTGGGGCAGACTGACATAATAATAAAATACAGCAAATGTCCATTTTTATCTGTTAACAGCTTAAAAAAATAAACCTTATTAATGACGAACAAGATAAGATGGTCATTAAGTCATGTATGAAATGTAAAAGTCAAATCTAAACATTTAGCTTTTATTTCCCATTTTTACATTCTATATAATAGTAAAGGAAACAAAGTCTAGAGACAAACTTTTGACCGCAGTTTTCATTTTCCATGGTAAACTTGAAAAAAATAATCTAATCAAACTCAGGACTTTTCATGACTGCATTTTATATTATTTGATTTGGAATTTAATTTTAAGAACAAAATGTCACATTTTAATGTAATACTGTACAGTCAAAGGTCTTAAGTCTCCCACAATAATGGGCTCAGAGACGTACAAACTGCTTAACATTTTTACGATAATTAAATAGTTAAATTTAGCTGTATTTTTTTTATTTTCATTGCAATAGTTTTGTTAGAATTGCTTTAATTATAATAAGAAAGAAGCTTTAAACATATCATTAAAAAACAGATACCAGATGTATTCCATTCAGGTTTATTTTTCTTTACCGTCACATTACATCACACAGATCACATTATAAGCATCATACATGTTCATCCATCATTTCCAAGCACTAGTCAAAGGCTTGACATTCACACAAGTACTCCTTGAATGCACCGCTGCTCAGAAAGTGTTTTCTCCGTGTGTCTCTGTGTGTTGGAGGGGGGGGGGGACCCCTGACTAAGATCAGAAGCAGAGCCCATCCAAAACAGGAGAAATCTCCAGTCAAGACCTTAGGCTGACATCACGGTTTCTCCAAAAACTCATCCAGCTCTGAGTGTAGTCAGGCTGCTTAGTATGTTTTGCTTCCATCATCAGCCTAGAGTCCCTGGATACTGAGAGGGGAAATCTAACACATAAAACCCTTCAGTGTTGTATCTCCAAACAAACACATAAAAATGATAATAAAGAATATGAAAAGAATGAGCGATGCTAGACATGCACAACAACATCAAACTCAATCGGAAATCAATCGATGAGAGAAAAACAAAAAGCGTAAGGCTCAGTAAAAAGACAACACTGAAAGAAAATGGTCATTATAGGATGGGGTTTGACAAACGCCTGCACAGACAATACAAGCACTAGAAGGGGAGGTGTGGAGCTGCCATTGCAATGCAATATATGTGACTTAGAAGAAAAATATATTGTTTTTGCTGCTGTTTAGAGAACAAAATGAAAATTGACATTCAAGAAAGCAGCACGCCAATTTGAACCTATTTGGAAAAACAAACAAACAGGTGTTTTGATGCACATTTCAAGGGTTTCGTTTAGCTTAATGTACTGGCTAAAGGCTTGGGTGGAACCACAGTGAAGCTGGATAGCACACAAAGAGAAGAGATGGGAGAAGAAATGCTGTGTCAAGAGGTGAAGCGAGTGGAAAACACTAACAGCTTGCTGTTTGTTGGAATGTAGAGGGCAGGATATAGAAACCCCAAAAAGGTAACAACTTCCATTGTGACCAAAATGTTGAAAGCTATCCTGAATGAGCACAACTTCTTTTTACAACAACAAACAACAGTCATGACAACAACAAAAAATTACACAGACTCAAATGAAATTCCCCAGTAGGCCAAATAAAGGGGGCAAACTGGTTAGAATGGGAGCACAAATGTCACCGAAAAATTCATGAAAAATTTTGTTCCGCTGTAAATTGTCATTGCACAAAGATAGTAAAGCAATACTGCATGGTTGTGTTATTCCATATGATTCAACAGTGTGGCGACAGATGTAGGCATAAAGAAATAAGACAACAAAAAAGGACGCACAACAATCTCTCAAAATGGCTTAACTAGCCAGCAACTATAAGAAAACGACAAAATGATTTTTTTTTTTAAGTTGTACATTCAACAAGTTGTCATTTTTCTCCCCCTTGCCACTAAGCTACAAATACATTGAATCAGTTCACTATAGCTTTGCAATTGCCTTAAAAAAAAAAAGAAAAAACATATATTCTGAGCAACAACAATGTAAAAAAAAAAAAAAAAAAGATATTTTCCTTTTCATATAACAGAGATACAACAAAACAACATGCGACAGCCTCACATATCTCTTTATGTCTTGCTATATGTACAAGGCCCTAAAAACTGCTAATAGTCACTGCATGTTGTGAATGCGCTTCGCTGTTTCCTGCACACCCATTAGCAGTTAGTGTCAATCTCCATCCATCGGTTCACAAGGAAAATGTTAAAGAAAACTTTAGTTTAGACAAGAGATGAACCGATCGAGTTTTTCACAACAATAGAATTGTGTGATGTTTTTTTGACAGTCCGACCAGCCATACAATTTTGAAAGAACACTTCTTTTTGACCAAAAATAGTGAACATCTTAGGTTTTATGTATTTAAAATATAAAAACATGTTTTTTCCCTTCATTGCAGGAAATCAGGGACAATAGTTATATTCTTTTTTCGCTATTCGATTGGTGCATCTCTTGCTTCAAAGCAAATGATTTTTAGAAAAGATATTCTGTTTTGGGAGACTGGTGTGGCTTGTGGACCTGACCGGTCAGTTTAAACTTTTCAGGGTATACAGTGGCAGTATTTGCTTGAATGTCACCCAGCAAAAATTAAAATGCTCCAAATGTAAAATTCCCATTGCAAAATTTGCATGTGCAGTATAGCATAATTCAATCCAGTCTGAGAATTTAAGATATCAAACCAGGGATAAATAATGCAGCCCAAAAGCCTTTTAAACCAGCCTTTTGCTACAGAAACACATTGGAAGTTATAAATCAGACAGCAACTTCAATTCTGTTGCAGAGAACATTCATACTTACAGCTCTCTGGGCAACTTAAAAACTGTCTGGGATACCACTGAAGAAAAATGCCTCATTCTTTTGTCTCCCTAAACTGTGGTACCCTGGGCAGTGAGTCATATTGCTCATGACAAGAACCGCCACTAAGTAGAACAGCAGGGACTAAATAAACTCTAAATGGGTCCTATTCACTTGCAAACCAAAGCTCTAAACACATAAACCTGCTGGTCTTAAAATGTGGGATGGAGAGACCTAGTGGGTGGCTTTTGATAACCAAATGTGCTGAAGTGAAAAGTGGCATCCAGCACTAATAATATATACATACATAACCTTAGTAAAATGTCAAAAAACAGGAACATTTCTTTATATGAAAGGAAGCAAATTGCAGCAGTGTTTGTTTAAAAAAAGCACGTGAACATTGGGAAAAAAGAAAAACTCCGGACAATGAACACTTAAAGCCATCTTCAGTTATCAGGACGATAAGTAGCTACGTACAGAAACTGGAACTGCTTCCAGTCCAAAGCGCTCATCCGACAAAAGGCAAAAAGACCAACGACTGCAGAGTACCACACTGTACTTCCAGTACCACACACCTAGAACTGTCAGCACCGCAGCCTTTAGTACATCTGATACAGAGCGTGAGATTATCTGTAAAAATAACCGGGCAATATTGGGAAACCCCTTGGAGGGATTCTCCACCCTTTTTTTTTTGTTTGTTTATTTCATCAGACTCTTAGAAACAAAAAGACCCTTTCACTTAATAATCTGTAAATACAAAACTTCCATGTATAAAAACATGTCTATGCGCAGTACAGCGTAGTGCAATTTTTTTCAAAGGTCAGAATACCTTTTTTCTTTATATTTTAACTTTTATTGGCACTTGGTGAATTTGGTGACTGGAAGAGGCCTGCTGACCTAGCTTATCTGGAACACAACTGATATATATATAAAAGTTTTACACAGAGCATCATGAGGGTATGAACTGTGACTATTTTTTCTTAATGTTTGCTTCAGCTCTCACTGATAAACTAACAAAGGTCTTTTTTTTTCTCCTTGCAGCTCATCTAATACTAGGGAAAAAATATGTGCCTTTACGGTGACAAGAGGTTTGATGTTGCACTTCACTGTCAGTCAAAACCAAGATAAAACTAGACCTATCAAACATAGAACCCGTCATCTGGGATGTTCTGCTACTAAGACCTGGTTAGCTGACTGTCTGAAGCACTTGACGAATAAAAGACATGCAGCAGAATCTGTGATAGGAAGGCGGCTAATGTGCAGCATAAATGTCTCCATGAATTTACATCTACTGCGTCTCTGCAAACACCTTGAAAGATCACACAAAGAAAAAGATTTTTGTATTTTCATATCTAAATCAAAGCTCTGAAGAAGGGGGTTGGGTGGGTTGTGTAATTTCTACACACTTTAAAGCCACATTGGCTAGTTAAAGATTTAAGGACTACAAGAATAAATAGTTCATCAGTTCATTCTTCTGTTTTTCTCAGAATTAGAGTATCAATTAAAAGAAAGAGGATAAAAAGAAAAAGAGTATTTTCTTACACAAGTTGAAAACTGATTGAGCCAACTCATGGGAAATCTACAAAACATAAGAAAATACAGATTAAACTATTCTGTAAGGATTTGGATTGCTACTAGATTCTAAGATTTTTCTTGTTTGGTATTAAAGGTGTTCTATCCACATTTAAATGCCAATTGTAAGTGCTTTTTTTTTCATTTTACTTAAGAGATAAAAAAAAAAGATTTTAAAGAGGTGGACAGCATTTTTTTATATTTGCAAATAACTTTCTTTGCGCTGGATTTCTACTTAAAAAAGAATCGGGAAGCAAAATGTGATATAAAATCAACTATTTTCAATGTACATATTACTAAATACATTTACCATCTGATGTTTATCTACACCTTGTAAAACCTGCCCATATTTTCATCATCTCTGACATTTAAAATCTTTATTCTAAACAAGTAAGACTGTTTTAGTTAAAAAATTTAAACTCTTGCAAAACCTACCTCTGCAAGATGGTGTTTACAGCTGATGTAATGCTGGTTGACAGTTATTGTAAGAGATGCACCGGATAATAAATCGGCTGGTGAGTGGAAATGGATCCTTTTCAGCTTTCACTGCTGATTTAAATCCTGACTTCAAAAGTAAGATCAGCAGATCGACTGCTGGGGATTTTAACCAGGTTAAACAGATGACAACACACTTCAGTGTGGAGGTTATAGCTGAGTGAAGATGTTAGTAATTTTGGAAAGATGTTCAGAAACAAAATGAGCTGGTCATTGTATAGTATTTGCAACTTTTTAAGTAAATCAAATGAATCCATCTCTTTTGATTGGAAAAGAATAATACACAGAAAAGTTGCTCAATTTGATAAGTTTGAACTTTCAACCTGTGACTCTAATGAAATTTTTTTATTTTGCTGTTCATTAGTAAAAATCGGTTTTTAAACCTAAAAATGTGTGACATAAATATAATCATTTTCAATGCTTTTGTATTAAAAAAATTCTCAGAGAACTTAAATTTTATATCTATCTGGGCAGTTTGAAGCTCTACGAAAACTTGAGTTTGGAAACCAGCAACAAAGCGTTGCACCGATGCATCTCTGCTTACTATAAAACCTACAAACCAGCTTATTGCAGAAAACTGTAAGAGATGGGTCTATAAATCAAGATGTTTAGAATACAATCTCTACGTTTTCTTTTTGAATTCAGAGTTATCAGTCCGACTGGGGCAGTTACAATTAACATGACTAAAACAACATAGCAAGAAAAACCTAAATGCTGTCATTCCTCTGATTGCACCATGCAAATGCAAGTTGATTCAGCTGCTTACTGCTGAAAATAAACTATACAGGTAATATATATACTACTCTCTGGGGCAAACCGGGGTTACAGTTATACTTTAAAAGATAATGCGTTTATAAAAGGATGGGGCATATTTGCTTAATAAACTGCGTGCATCTTTCCAAAATATTTTGGGAGGTCAAAGGAGAACTCTGTACCACGCGTTGTGAATGATTTAGTGCAGTTATGCTGATCTAAAAAAAAGTGTAGCAGGCTGTTAGAAATCAGCCAAATGAATACATTGTCTGTTGCTAAGCTGTGTATTCAATTTGCAGTCTAGATTTCCAGTAAAAAGGCAGAGCACAGTGTTGTTAGATCTTATTTTAAAACTGATAACTGTAACTTGAGAATCTGGCAATTTGATGCAGACCCCTAAAAGGTGACGATGAGAAACAGATCCGCTACAGTGATTTCAATGAGCACATCCATTGTTAACCGTTTAACCTCAGAGAAGAGCCACGGCCCATCAAATAAAAAGTAGCTTACATAATGCTCTTACAAGGGTATAACAAAAAGCTTATTTGTACTCTTCAAACTCTGTTTTGAGTTTAGGAAAGCGGGAAAAAAACAAGAATCTGATCAGCATTAAATTTGTTTTCCTTATTTGACCGTGAGTGACTGTCTTAGAAAACATCTCCAGAAGTGGATAAAGTTATTCTTTTCTCATTGTGTTTGGGAACAGAAAAGAAATAAGGCAACTCTTTCTCCCAGCTGGTCCAGAGGAAGCAGCACTGAGAACTTTGCCCTCCTCTTCTCTGTGGTAAAAAAAAAAAAGAAAAAGAAAAGAAAGAAGTCAACCTCGCTATCACTGCGAGCGAGGAGGAGCTCGTCTCCCAGAACCAGTGGAAGGCAACTGGATTAGTCGGTAAATCTCTGACAGGCTTTTTTCCATCGACAGGCTGTGCACCACATGTCTCTCTTCTCCATGCCGTACACCTTTCGGCACTTCTTAGCTTCCCCACGGGGTTTCCTTGGAAACAGCAAATGTGACAGTGTAAGGACAAGCACAAACACACCTTCCATTCACAGACAGACAAAAAAACAACAACACCAATAACAAAAACAACAACATGCATATTTAATACTCGAAAATGCAACCACATCTGCATGACTCTAAAACACCAGGACTTTCTTGTTACAGTTTAAAACAAGATATTTTAGTTTTTTCCTCAACAATCCACGTGGTTTTCGAGTGGTTGTTTCGATCCCATAGTGAAACACAGTTTAATAAATGTAAAGACTATTGGTTCAGTAGAACCAATAAATGCTGAATTAACAAGATAATAACATTATTAAGTGCATTATTATCATTCAGATCTTTCATTCCTCATTCATTTTTTAATTGAATTTAATATATCACTAGATTGTCAGTGGATGCTTATTCATAAACTAACTGGACTAGCATCAGGGACAAAAACATCCTGAATGGGACAACCATAATTCAAAGGTGTAGCTTAACCCAATAGAGCTGGGAGCAGCTTTAAATGACAAATGAAATTTTAATGATTAAAAAGCCTTTTTCTAGATGACTTAATTGCAGATTGTATGAATAAGGCTTATATATATATATATATATA